TATAATAAACATCAAAGCTATATTGAGCTGTAAATGCTGAATGATCAGTTGGCTAGACATACTAATTTAGTTACTCACTTATCATCACCAGCCTCATAGTCATACAAAATTCACATTAAAATTTTTTTAAATGTATTTGGTACAGGATCTTGCTACACAGCTTCAACTCATAGTGATCCTCTTATCTCAGTTTCCCCAGTGCTGGGATTACAGGTGTGCACCACCACACCTGGTTTCAGTGGCTGGCACAGTGAATCCAGGGTTGTAGGGCCCCTGTGGCATGAAGTACCAGGGATCAAACCTGGGTCCTTGTACTTGCCAGGCAGGCACATAGACTGCTGAGCTATCTCCTCTGCCCAAAATTCACATTTAAGCCTTCACATAACAACTTATTATCGTTATGATAAACTTCAGGGTCACCTACAAATAGACACAGTTTAAAGAATAAATCTGGGCTGGGATATTTAAACCCAGATATTAAACCACTGATATAGCTCAGCAGTTTAAGTGCCTGCCTGGCAAGCACAAGGTCCTGTGTTTGATCACCAGTACAATAAAATAAAATAAAATAAATCCATAGAGCTATAGTCTACTAAAATATCATAACTGGAAACATTATTGAAATTTTCATGTATTAATATACTACTTGAAAATTAAGAATCAAAACTTAAGAGCATAACCATTTTGAAAGCAGCTTCAATCTATGGATGAAGGCCAGTTTTTTAAAAACTAAAGTTTTTTCTTTGGTCTTTATGGGTTCAACATGAATTTTGTAAAACAAAGCTTTCCAAAGACTTATAAATAGATTGATATTCTTTCTCCACTTACTGAACATAATGAATCTATCAGCGTAAGGAAATGAACCATTAGTGATATTATTTCTGCTGGTACTTGTTTTGTTTGAAAGGCTGTGAGAACAGTTTGCCACTTTGGCCTAGAGGAAAAAATAGAGTAATATAGCTCTATTTATGTCTTAGGGATTACCACTAATCACCTGAGGAGTCAGTGTCTCTTGAGCAGCTGCTAAAATAACTTTAATTAAAAAGGTTTTATCCAGAGGCAGTAACGTAGTTAAGACATGTGTCACTGAAGCTGTTGAGTGATTAGACTTTGATTTCCCTTCTGGAAATTTCTTTTTGGCCCTTCCTATAGCAAGAATCATGTTGTTACTTGGTAGTGTACTTTATTCAAAGAGTATGAATGAATGGAAAGATGCAAGGGTAGATCTCTTCGGATCTATTACAAAATGTTTCCCCTAAAGACCTGAGAAGAGTGTAGTCCTTGCTGGTCATGGTGGTGCTCTTCTGTGGAGTGAACTTGGAGTGGGGAGTCACAGGCTGGCCCTGTCAGTGATTACTGACCAGCTCCTATGCCTGAAGCTAGAGAGAACAGAACTCTTGAAATGAGATTGAGCAGGCAAGATCCTCCTAAAGGAAGCATGTCTGGATGAAGAAGATCTCTGGGCTCGTTCTGAAGATCTCCATACCCAGTGATCCCTGAAGAGTTTTTTGAGTCCTAAAGAGACGTCTACCCCAAACAAGCAGTTTTCTAATGGATCAGCACATTTTCAGCCAATTTGGATGACAATGTGTTGCTTAAATTGTATAACTGTTAACGTTTCAGCTTATTCTTCAAGGTCTTGTTCAAATCTTATAGCATCTCTGATTATCTATTCCTAGGTGACATTTCCTTCTTTTCCATTTCTAGTAGTCTCACTATGTGTGGCATAATCAATGAAACATCCCCATGGCACATAGTTCTTCTTCTCGATTTTAGTAGCCAACCATATCGGAAAGTTACTTAGTACAGAAGCTATGATGTACACTTCTTCTGTGAATCATTGAAAAGACTGAGTTCCTGATTTGTAATAAAGTGCACCAATTAGTTGATTGTTTAACTAGTTGTTATTTCCCTAGATTTCAGACTCAGTAGGTAATTTTCTCATCATTTTATTATCAGAACAACTGAACTTCCATTGAAAACTTTGAAAGTTTCAAATATTCTTTTTTTTTCTTTTAATTTTTTTAAAAAAGTATTTATTTATTTGTTTGGTACAGAGTCTCACTATGCAGCTTGGACTCATAGTGATCTACCACGCCCAGCTTTGGTGGTCAGCACAGTGTGCCTGGGGTTCTGGAGCCTGCTCTGTATGTGATACTTGGGATCAAACCTGGGTCCTTGCCCTTGCCAGACAGGTGCTTAGACCACTGAGCTATCTTCCCAGCCTCTTAAGTATTATTCTTATTAACTTAATAATATTTCTATTTCATAAATAAGATAATAAATGTAACACATAATTCTCCACATGCAGGGTCTAAACTGTTGGGAAATAGTTGGCATTTTATTGATTTTAAAGATTATTCTTATTAACTTAATAATATTTCTATTTCATAAATAAGATAATAAATGTAACACATAATTCTCCACATGCAGAGTCTAAACTGTTGGGAAATAGTTGGCATTTTATTGATTTTAAAGAAAATTCTAAGGTAATTTATTTTTTACTTTTTATTGCTGAGAAATTATAATTGTATATGTTAACATATAGTTTATATATATATATATATTTATTTTATGGAGTACAATGTGATATTATGATATATGTTTCTAGATCAAACTTTCCATTTCTGAATAAGTGATTGCATTTCTTATTATGTGACACAGGTTTGTACTAGATATAGTGGGATATATTATGAAGATATTTAAACAGAGAATGACTTAGTGTTTGAGTTAATTTCCACATGATTAGATTGATGGGAAAAAAGAGACTTGACAGAAGGAATTTCTAGGTTTATTTTGACTGGGCAACAGTCTTACAATTGGCAAAAGGCACTGGAAAATGGAGCCATATCTTGGCAACCAGTGTAATTATTTGAAAGCCAGGAAGTTTGTTTATGTTCTTCTTTATGTAGTTGTGGTTTTCTTTTCTATTGACAATTGAATGCATTGCAAGATTGCATATTTTCTTTCACTGTGTTTTGGAACTAACCATAGCTTTCTAAGACCTTTTGTTAAAGTTTAAAGAATTTTCCCTTTTCTTTGTAATGAAAATGCCATTTTTTAATGTTTAAGAGTGATTGTCAAGGGGCTGGGAAGACAGCTTGGTGATCTAAGCACCTGCCTGGCAAGCACAAGAACCTGGTACCACACACCGTGCTGGCCCTAGAACCTCAGGTGCTCCATGCTGGCCACTGAAACTCGGAGCAGAGGCACATGCTTGGAACCCTAGCACTGGGGAGGCTGAGACTGGAGGATCACTGCAAGTTTCAGCTGCACAGTGAGACCCTGTACCCAATACATAAGTAAATAAAAGACTAAAAAATTTTAAAAGGTGTGATTGTCAAATTACAATGAAATAAGTGCTTTTGATTAAAAACTTGCTGCTACCCACTTATTTTCCATGCTTTAAGATTAAATTAAAATACTGTAGTATTTATTTTTCATATTACTTATTTTGTTTTTTACCCACTTGATATGTATCTGTCTAAGCTCATTGCTTTACTATAGTCCTGAGCTCATCAGGATAAATCCTGAGGGGATTTCACTGACCTTATCAGACCAAAAAGCTACAACTCTTGTTGCATAGGACCTGCTTTGCCTTGGTCTTAACCATCCAGCAGAAAAGTATAAAAACGAAGTATCAGAAGTAAAGCCATGCTGTTATGTTGAGCTGTAGGGGACTCAGGTCAACAATTTCTGACACTGCCAGTCAAGCGGAAGACCCAATACTATTATGCA